CTCGCTAGCAGCCTCACACCGAGGACCTATCCACGTCATCATTTACCCAGAATGCTTTGTGTGGAAATAAAATGGCTCTGTCCGTGTTAAAATATATTTTTTAACTTTTAATTTAAAATGATTAACTGAACATCCTACACTATTTTTACAGTCTTTATTTTAAAGTTAAAATATATGTTTATTAAATAAAGTCTAATGTTTCAACTAATCATGGATCTCTTTAACAGAACCTACCTGATGCGCCCTGCATATTAGGTCCATGTCGTGTTTGTGCAAAAATTTGGCCACCACGTCCGCCCCGAACGTGAAGGAGACGCCGCGGTCGTTTTCCCCCCAGCCCAGGACGTCTTTGTCTGGATCGGCCCACAGCAGGTCGCACAGCAGGCCCTGGTCGGGCACGTCTGTGGGTCGCATTACTCTGCGGATCTGCTCCATCGACTGAAGGTCCGGGGAGAGGCCTGGGGAGGGACGGGGGTCTGGTTTACATCAACTCGTGACTTTTAAATCCACCTGAAACCATTTTGACTGGATCTACCTCCGTGGCAACAGAAGATTTTCTCGTCTACAATGGCGGCCACGGGTAAACAGTTGAAGCAGTCTGTGAAGGTCTTCCACAACTTGATATTGTACCGTCGCTTACCTAAAACAAATAAAACAAACTTAAAGCACAACTCCAGCTTATTCCCTCATTCCAAAACAGACATCTCTGTTCACTTACACTCATCATAAAAACCGTAGATTCGATTAATCGAGGCGCACTCGTGATTGCCGCGCAGCAGGAAGAAGTTTTCTGGGTATTTGATCTTGTAGGCTAGAAGCAGACAGATGGTCTCCAGCGACTGCTTCCCTCGGTCGACGTAGTCTCCCAGGAACAGGTAGTTGCTTTCTGGGGGGAAGCCTCCGTATTCGAAGAGTCGGAGGAGATCGTAGTACTGACCGTGGACGTCGCCTACAGGGGGGGAGCAYAGGAAAACCTTTAAAACTTCCATTTATTAAGAAGGTCATTTTACAGTTTCTAATAAAAAAAATTCCACAATAAACCAGTGGTTCAGGGGAGACTGTGTGAGGGAAAACAGTCTTAAAGTTTTGGACTTGGTCTAAATCCCCTCGATTCATCTCAACTCACCACATATTTTTAGAGGAGCCTCGAGCTCCAGCAGGATGGGCTGGCTCAGGAAGATTTCCCGAGACTTGAGGCAGAGGCCACGGATTTCATTCTCCGTTAGCTGAACGTTCTTCCCCGGCCGAGAGCCTTTGACTAAAAATAAAATAAAATACAAAACGTTACATGTTTTATGGAGTAAAAAAAGAAAAACATCACAAAGAGCTTCAATAAGAACCAAAAAGATTGACATGAAGCACAGCTATGAAATGTGATGCTTGGATTTTGAACCAGACCACCAGACCGGGCTGTTAACACCTCCCACCCGCCAAATGTTGTCAAGTTCTGTTAGCGGTTCTGTCCAACGGCCATTTCAGCAGGTACTCGCCTCTTTCAGAGGTAACATTGTTCTATACCTTGTAGAAATCACATCTCTGAACACACACACACACACACACACACACACACACACACACAC